ACATCCTATCATCNCTTTCTTATGCACATAAAGACACTAAGAAATTCTACTGAGTTGAAAAAAAAAATAAACCTGTAGGAAAAATTTATTAAATTAAACAATGAACAAATTAATGAAACAATTAACAATGAAAATCTCAATAAGGAACAAATGAAATTCAGAATAAAAACTCTGAAGGTTTAAGTCACTTCTCACTAAGCCTCTTTAGAATCTCTATCATAGCAATATCTCTTTCCATTCGTTGGTCTGACTCTTTCTTCTCCCTTGCCTGAATTGCCTCTCTCTCATATCTATCAATCTCAAACTTCTCCCTCTCCAATGCTACCTGCTCTTGTCTAAGTTTCATGTAATCCTCTAACATATTGCTTTTCCGTTTTCTTTTTTGGTGTTTCCTTCTCTTTTTGATTAAAACTTTCATCGCCAGATTCTACTGAAATAAACAGAATACATATACACACATATATACACAGTGCCAGTAGACGAAAATAGAAAATCCCACTGGGAATTGCTAAGAAATAAGCCTGGACAATGTTTCATTTGTTGCTTTATGATCAGTGGTATTTTATTTGACTGAGTAGGAACGTGTTGGAGATTTGAGGGCACTTTTCATTGGATCAGGCCTGGATCAAAATGATATGGAGCTTAGAGCAATGAATAGACCAACGAGAAAATTCTACTCAAAGAAATATTTGATCGTGTTCCAAATATTGGGGTGTCACAAGCTTACCGTGTGGCGTGTTTCTCTTCAGTGACTGCATTGCTGCCTCTCTGATCATTACTCCTTTCAATTCTTTTTGTCTTTCCTCATCACGCTTATCTTTTGTGCTGCTAATCTCTGCATTACTTTCTTCTATCAGATCAACCAAGTCTGTCAAAAGGGCATCCCTTTCTGTATATTCTTCTTCCGTCCCAGAGCTAAAAAGAACAAAAAATAAATATATGACCTTAAAAATTCACACATTTTCAAAAAACCTAGAAATTCTGAGTTCATAAACATGATGTTCCCATTCATCTAGCAATTTAAATCATATCACAAATTAATAAACTCATTAATTTTGACTCCATTCCCAGGGAAAAGGAAAAGTTCAATGAAATGCTTACATAAAAACCAAATCCCAGGTCCTGTTTAATTTTGGATCTGACAAGCAAAGAATTCTGTGGCTGCGGGGAGATAACCGGCTGGCTGCGGAACCTGTCTAATAGCTGTTTGAGTAGGTTGTCGCATTTTTGAAACAAGGCAATTTTTATATCAAATTGTAATATGTTTTTCAATGTTTTTTTTTTCTTTTTGCAAATGATGCTGGATATCTGTTAACAACTTTATTAGCTACCTTCCGATGCAGATGTAAGGTTCTGCTCACACTTTTCATCATACAATATATACTAAGCCTCTGTTTTTTGTCAATTTTTTTCCACTTTCCAAACTTGTCAGACTTTTATCGCGTACAGGTGCTATATGAACATTTATGGTGCACATTAATACATTTCATTTCATTTCCATAGAGGCAATGAATATATATCATATACTCTTTGTTAATGTCACCAATACAGTTTGCCCATAGTGGAAAGCGCAACCAAGGATGGTAGTCTCGTCAAACACCGACCGGAGAGTTTGCCATATACGATGTTCACAATCGACCAGGAATGACCCGACTACCGATAATTTCGGAACAGTTTGAAACACCTAGAATTAGGGTTGTAATTGACAGTTTCGGTTATTTGTAAGCTGGATAGTCCAATATATTTTGTGTTACTTATGTCAAGCAAAGCATCAAATAAACTGTGCAGTTTTGTGATTTTATCTTCAATAATTCTGTCTGGATTTTTACTGCTTTTTAAACCTTTCGGTCCTGAGTGACTTTATATTTTTACAAAATCTGTTTCCTCGGGGCAGTATATAGTTTGAGCACTCAACATAACAGAAAACCAGTTAATTTCTAAAAATTTTAGTGACTTGATAATATTCTGAGGGTAGGACCTGAAAGTCCCCACAGGAAATGTCAAATCCTGTTGGGACTTTCAGGTCCCATCATGCACTTCTTGTTTTACAGATACAAAAAAGGGCAAACTATTAAAATGTATCTAATTCCAACTATTGTAAGTGATTACATGCAGCCAAGGCAAAATGTTTTTCACTGTTAGAAAGTTAGTTTCTAACAAGAATTATTATTGGGATTACATGACCTAAGTGATTCTGTGATAAAGATTGAAACAAGTGGAACACTGGCTTTTAGGGCGTGACTCGACACCATTGTAGCTGCAGACTTTACAACGGGTCCTTGGTCTTTGAATACTACCCAGTGGGGACCTAGGTTTTGCAAACGTACATCTTTAGAAACACTGAAATTATGTTTTGCAAGTGTTGAGGGTGGACTGACAAATAGGTGCCCTGCGAACCCGTGGCTGTTTTGACATGGTTATTAAGCACTGACTTACTGATCTTCTAAAATCTAGTGTTGACATTTGTTTGTCATTTAATTTGCAGTACACCACCTGGCTGTCAATCAGACCAAAGAATATCCGGTGCCACCATTTGAGAGACTTCCTGTCACGGCCATGGATGGCACAAAGCATGTCTTCTTTGCCAACACCCCCCATATACACATTGTAATCAACAACGGATTTGGGACAACCAAATTCCTTTTTGCTACCATCATGCGATGTTGCGATCTTACCTCCATCTTCGTAGAAATTGTGTCCCACACTTTTTAAACGCCCACATTATAATGTGGCTGTATATTGCCATCGCCCGTCCGTCGGTCCGTCCACAATTGGCTTGTGAACACAATAGAGACACAATTTTTATCTGATTTGAATTAAATTTGGTGTGATCAATTATATTCATGAGATCTTGGACGATCGAATTTGACGATCTTTCGATGAACGGTTTTTGAGTTATTGCGCTTGACTTATGAAAAACGCGTCAAAATTTGTTTGTGAACACAAGAATACAGATTTTATCCAATTTAAATGAGATTTGGTGTGATCATTTATATTCATGAGATCATGGACAAGTTCGAATTTGGCTAACTTTCGATAAATGGTTTTGAGTTATTGCCACTGATTTATGAAAAACACGTCAAAATTTGTTTTTGAACACAGTTTTCATCCGATTTAAATGAAGTTTGGTATTGTAACCAAGTGATTTAGCTTGATGTGTCCAATAGATTGTCCAATAAAGAAAACAACTTCTGATAAGGCAAACTATATTCTGATAAAGGGAAAAAGGGTGGATTTGGCAAAGAACATCTGAAATACACATAATGACAAATGTTACAATACAATATAATGAACAATGAACTGAATTTAAAGAATATGGAGAATAAGATGGGAAATATAATGAAAATGACAAGGGAAATGGATTATATGGTTCAACAATGCAAAATCACAGCATTCTACTAGCTCCTCTGAGTAAAGTGATAATCATAAATTATGAATTAACATAATATCTAACCACAATAATATGTACTTTTATAGTAACAAATATAATATTTGGCTAATAAAATGATTACAACAAAACTGAGTTTATTTATTTCAGCATTATACTACGAGCTATTCTAGTATCTGTGTTCCAATTACTCAATATTACACATATTGACTCATGGCTTCCGAATTTAACTCAAATGCAAACATACAATGCATAATATCTATAAATTCAAGTTCCAATACAAACCTACACTACCGTGCATAAATTAGAGCTTGAAACAATAACTATATCTATCAATACCATAATTATCCTACAATATTATAATAACATGTAGTAATACAAATAAAAAGCATAAAGAGTAATTAAAGCTAAGAATTCTACAAAATTCTTGGGCAAGCACTGTCCATGGTCACGTGACCTCAAAGAAAATTTTTCAGCGGGGTTTGAAACTCTTTATCATGCTAATTATCGCAAATATTCCATATGACATAGCATAAAACATTTACAGTTCGGTTCTTAACAATCTAATACTCATAAATAAGGCTAAGAAATATCATTCTCTAATGAAAATACAAGTATAAAACTTAATTTAAAACTTACACGTGAGAGCTGTGAGGGTTTCCATATTGAAAAAGATTCACAATACTTGATAATAAAGACTAATAGAACTCAATAAGCATTATTACGACTTGTAATACATGTCTACCTAATTCCAAGAAAAAGCTTTGGCTAATTAACAGAGACTATATAAAACGTATAACAATGAATAAGACTGGATAATTGTTATAAGGTGAAGGTCATTAGACTAAAGTAATAATCTGAAATGTTCTCACTCAAATCCAGTTACAATAATCCTATGTATTCTGACTCGGTCACACTCTCCCCTGCTAAGACTGTAACGTCCCGTTACTGTACGTTAACTTAACAAAGTTCTAAATGTACTTAAAACATACAAAAATACTCAAAATCACTAATATGATAACTTATAGGTGGTTGGTTAAATCTTGCACCATGATTCAGATATTCTGGACCATAATTCAGATATCTAGGACCAAAATTTCCAACATAATGAATCATTGGTACTGGCCTCCATTCAGGTATTCCAGTGATTAAACATGGTGATGTTCGTCATTCACTAGTGTTACCATCCATGTCGTATGTAAGTCGAGCGGGTGGTTGGCGATTACGACTTGATCGGCGTATTCCATCATCGCTAACTGAAGTTGTTGGCGATTCTGGTACTACAGGCAGGTCTAAAACTTCCTCAACAGGGTTATCTAGAGTTGTGTCCTCTGGAACCTGTTCTGGTTCTATACCAGTCTCTTTGTCTTTGTGTTCAGCATTGTAATCATCATCATAACCCCTTTGTTCAACAATAACTTGGGGAATTGGCTCATAATATGCGTCTTCATCGTCACTGCTTTCTGAGTTACTGAAGGAGTTTCTCTGGTCAAGTCGAGGTTTCCCTGGATGAACCACTTGTTGGTTGCTTCTCATTTATGTGAAATGGTAATTCATCACATGGCAAAAGTAGATTTCTATGCACCACCTTTTCCTTGCCTGTTTTTGATCTAATTCTGTAAACTGGACTGTTTTCACCAATGCTTGTAATAACAGAGTAAATTTCATCCTCCCAGTATGACCTTAATTTTCCGGGACTTCCTCGTTCGGACAAGTTACGTAATAGAACTCTCCCACCAGGTTGTAATTCTACTGATGTAGGTTTCTTCCGATCATACTGCTTTTTCTGTAGTTGTGATTGGTTCTGAGAATATTTACTTGCAAGTTGATAAGCCTCCTTCATACATTCACTCCATTTTTTTGAATATTCCTGTGCAGTGTTGAATTCTGGATTGACTTTGTCAAATATCAGGTCCACTGGTAATCTTGGACTTCTACCATACATCAGGAAAAAGGGTAAATATCCTGTCGAGTCGTTTTTCGTACTGTTGTAAGCATGTATAACTTTATTTACATGTTCATGCCATTTGGATTTCTGCTCTTGGTTCAGTGTTCTCAGCATTCCCAGCAATGTTCTATTAAACCTTTCCACTTTGCCATTTCCTTGGGGGTGGTAAGGTGTTGTTCTGCAAGGTTGTACTCCACTAAGATTCTGTTGGTGCTTAAACAGTCTATTCTCAAATTCCCAACCATGATCATGGTGAATTTTCCTTGGAAAACCATATCGAAGGATGAAATCATTGAAGATCTTTTCTGCTACTGTTTTTGCTTTCTTATTTCTAGTAGGGTATGCTTGTGCGAATCTTGTGAAGTGATCTACCAGTACCAGTATATATTCGTATCCACCAGAACTCTTCTCAAGATGGAGAAAATCAATTGATACCAGATCTAATGGGGATGTTGAAGTTACTGGAACCATTGGTGCTCTTGTTTCTTTTGCAGGAATCTTGTCCTTAAGACAAGTACATTTCTTCATGATGTAATCTGTGATATCTTGTCTCATTTTCGGCCAGAAAAACCTGTCTCGAGCCAGTGCTAGAACTCTTTCTGAACCAAGGTGACCCATGTTGTTGTACACTTCTTGCAGAACAAGACCATGGTACTTCTTTGGTAGTATTAGCTGTTCACGTACATCTCCACCATGCAATAAACATTTCCAGATTAAAAGACCATCAGGGTTCAATTTCAACTTATGAAATTCTTTCAACAGCGGACTAAGTTCTATTGTAGCTCGATTTAAGATGGGTTTCTTCTTCATTTCCAGGTAGCGAAGAACTGGTTTAATGACTATGTCTTCCTCCTGTGATTTTCTGATTTCATCTGTTGATAAGGCTGTGTAGACTGTTGAGTTTACCATGCAGTCAATATTTACAGCATCAGAGTTACCATTCAGGGCAGTTATCCAAACTGCATCACCACTATTACTTGCAGCTTCAACTTGCAGTAGTGCTGTCTTGAACTCATTGGTGATCGTTTCTGTACATTGCTCCATATAGTTGTCAATGTTGAGTGGCATTCTTGATAATCCATCGGCAGCTTGATTATTGATTCCTGGTTTGTATTTTATATCAAAATTGAAATCTGCTAATTCGTTCAGCCATCGATGTCTTGTACTATCTAGCTTTGCTGACGTCAAGATGTAAGTTAATGGGTTGTTGTCTGTGTAGACTTGTTTGGTGTAATACAAAAATTTCTCACTGATTGCCCATTTTAAAGCTAGGAATTCTAGTTTGCTGGAATGAAGATGATACTTCTGCTCTGCACTTGATAAGGTCCTTGAGCCATATGCAACAACTTTAAGTTTTCCCTGGGCATCTTGCTGATACAGGATAACTCCTAGTCCATCTTGGCTGGCATCTGTGTGCAGGACAAATTCCCTTTCAAAGTCTGGATAGGCCATGACATCAGTAGACATCAAATCATCTATGAGGTTGTTCAGTATTTCTTGATGTTTGGTAGTCCATGTTATCTTCGTTCCTGATGAGACTTGACCCTTTTTTTTAACTGTGCCTTCGGATTATCTTCAGGTTTTTTAAGTAGGTTGTATAAAAGCTTAGTTCTGGATGAGAATGCAGGTAAATATTTACGGTAGTAGCTTACAAAACCAGGCATTCGTCGTAGGTCTCCAACTGTTTTAATCGTTCGATTCTTCAAATCAGCGACAGCAGCTTTATCGGCTGGATCCGTCTGGTATCCTTCTTTTGAAACGAGATGACCCAGGTAGCGTATCTGGTTCTTGAATAGCTCACATTTCTCAGGCTTCAGTTTGACCCCTCTTTCTGTTAGTCGACGTAGTACACTTCGTAAATCTTCTAAATGGCTCTCAAAACTTTCTGAGTAGATGAGAACATCATCCAAGTATGGACAGCAGCATCTATCACGTAAACCATCTAACGTTTCATCCATAAACCTTTGAAACTGTCCTGGAGCTCCTGTCAGTCCGAATGGGATACGAATCCACTCGTACAGACCCCATGGTGTAGTGAATGCTGTTAGTTGCCTACAATCTTCCTCAACAAAGCCTTGGTGGTATGCCTTTCCTTGATCGCATAGAGAGAACCAAGATTTTCCAGCAAAACCATTAAGTACATCATTTATCTTTGGTTGTCGATCAGGGATGGTTTTAGAATTTAAATTCCTATAGTCAATGCAAAGACGAAGGGTGCCATCTTTCTTCCTGACGCAAATCATCGAACTTGCATAAGATGAGCTACTCCTGCGTATAAAATTCTTGTGAAGGAGATCATTCAAATAAATTTTAACTTCTTCATATAATGGTCTTAGTATAGGAATATAAGTTTTCTTAATTTCACCATCATCTTTCAGATTTATCTTAAGCTTCAATCCCTAAGCTTTGCCAATTTCATCACTATTCCTTGAGAAAGCAGCTGATTCTTCATATAGCAACTGGCGAATTTTCTCTTTCTGCTCATTTGGCAAATCTACTGCTGACAGATCAATTGGTGGGTGCCATAATGCTTCATCATTTGGTTTTCTTGACAAATGATTTACTGTTGGACTTGACGTTGGTTCCTTCCTATATTCCACAGGAAATATTGATTGAACAGGTTGCAAAGTTCCAAGGAATGTTTTGCATATTAAGGAAATATTTGTGTTTGTTTCATTTGTAGCAATGCTTGCACTTGTGTCAGAGTTATTGAAATAAAGTTCAACTAGATTGTAACCAATCAAAGGCTTGTCGATCCCTTCACTGTTGGTTAATAGAAATGGCACTGTAACCTCATTACTTGAAGTTTCATTTGATAGTCTATGTCACAAGACGGACGAGCGGATCCTAAATTTCCCCCCTTTGAAAACAAAACAAAGATAATTGTTAACATATTTACATACAAAACAAATTAACATACATAGTTAAATCGTAAGAATCAAATCTAATGAATGTCTAGTGATCACACAAGATAATGTCCGCACACACGTGACGTTCCGCACTACCTCCACAAAATATAATCACAGTTAATCCAAATATTTTCCTCGTAGACATCTAGTAAGTCCTTGTGTACTGGTATAACAAACGAAGTTACCATTTATGAAAACCATCTCATTCCCATGTAAGTTAAGATCTTACATTTATCGATGACGTAACGATATATCAACTACAGCTTATATACATCAAAAACATAACTACCGCATTTTGTCATCTAGAAGTATCAATTAACCAACACCAATTCCATTTTAAGACACCTAGCATAGGATTCACCCAACATCGTAACCAATTGCCGAGTAACAAAATGACAAACATAAAAACCTTATATAGCACTCTTGCACACAATGCACGGACTTTCATCTTTTCATCTCGAATATCAAGACACTAAAATAACAATACTTTTATTAACATGTAAATCGTATCTACATTAGTTTGCGCGAGTCGTAGAGGTACGTTTGCGCGAGCCACAAATGTGCGTTTGCGCGAGCCATTAATCTGCGTTTGCGCGATAAAACTTAATAATTTTGTGACATTAACCCCCCCTTTTCGAGACAAAAATCACATTTTTAGTCTAAAAACCAAAATTATTCCTACTCATAAAATCAGCTCCAACGTTCTCTTTGCCTTTAATAGCTACAATCCTAAATCTATATGGCTGTAAAGTTAGTGCCCATCTCATAATCCTTCCATTATTGATACCACTTTTATTCAAATATATCAGCGGTTGGTGGTCCGTCTCTATAATAAATTCCTTGCCATACAAGTATTCCTGAAACTTTTGTATTGCCCACACAAAAGCTAAACATTCTCGTTCTATCACGGAGTTTCTCGGGATAATAACTTTCTACTAATATAAGCAATTGGAAATTTACCATCATCAAAATTTTGTAATAAAACTGCTCCAATTCCTATATCTGATGCATCGGTCTGTAAAATAAAAGCATTCGATACATCGGGTAAACGTAACACCAGAGGACTGGCCAATATAGATTTTAAAGTGTTAAATGACTTCAATTGATTTTCTCCAAGTATAAATCTATTAGGTGTACCTCGTTTTGTACAATCCGTTAATGGCGCAACAATAGTAGCAAAATTGGGCACAAATTTCCTGTAATAACCTGCGAGACCAAGAAAACTTCGCAACACCTTTTTATTAGTCGGTGGACATTCAAAATATTTTCAATCTCTTTAATCTGAGGTTTAATTACACCGTTACCTACAAAATGACCTAAATAATCCAATTCCTGAAAAGCAATAACACATTTAGATGGACGCGCCGTCAAATTAGCCTTTCTCAATCTTTTAAATAATTCCTTTAAAATAGTCAAATGTTCCTCCCAAGTCTTTCTAAAAACAATGATATCATCCATGTAATTTTCAGCTCCTTTTAAACCCCTTAAAAGTTTACGCATAACTCTTGAAAAAGAAGCCGGTGCGCACACTAATCCGAATGGCATCATTTTGAACTGAAATAATCCCATAGGTGTAGAAAATGCTGTACACCGTTTCGATTCCTCGGACATAGGCAATTGCCAATAACCTTTAGTGAGGTCAAATTTGGACAAAAACTTTGAATTCACTAGTTGATGAAAAATCTCACCTGATTTTGGAATAGGTTCGGCGTCAAACATAGTAATTTGATTTAATCTGCGGAAATCAATACAAAATCTGTTGGAACCATCTGGTTTCTTAACTAAAACTATTGGCGACGAATAAGGCGAATTAGATTCCTCAATGATCCCCATCTTCAACATAGCTCTCACCTCTTCATTTACCACATCCTTCATAGCAAACGGAAGTGGGTACGGACGTAATTTAACTGGATCTGTGGTCGTTAACGATATAGAATGCTCACCCAAATTCGTAATACCTGGTAAATCAGTAAACACATCTGAAAAACCATCCAGTAGACTTCTTATCTCCGCTAATTTCAAAGAAGGCAACTTAGAGTCGATACTCACGTCCTCAATAGTCTCTTTTCCTTTTATGGGAGGCAAAATCACTTCGCTTTCATCCATCGGAGACAAATCATCACCATAGATGACACTAGCAGACGCAATAGCAGCATCAACTGGCTTCCTTTTAATATAAGGTTTCAATACATTAGCATGAAATGTTTTAATTTTACCCTTGACGTCTAATTTGTAGTCATATTTACCTAGTGCCTCTACTATTTTATAGGGACCTTTCCATTGCATAAGCAGTTTATTATTGTCGGTTGGCAACATAACGAGTGCATAATCATCTACTTTTAATTTCTTTAATTTACTGTTCTTGTCATAATATATTTTGTAACGTTTAGATGACTTTTTTAACTCATCTATAGCAAGTCGACATGTATCTTGTAAACGATCCTTCAAATCTACCACATACTGATATGTAGTTTTAACTTCCATCGGAGTAGATTCACCTGTCCAAAACTCCTGTAAAATTTGCATAGGCCCTCTTAAACTTCGACCATATAATAACTCGAACGGGCTGAATCCTAAGCTCTCCTGTGTAGCTTCCCTATACGAAAATAAAAGGGGAGACAAATAACGATCCCAATCTTTAGGTTTCTTACCATTTACCTTTTCTTCGCCAGAACTAGCTTTCTCGCTTACTTTACCTAGTGATTTGTCATTATCTTGTCCCAACTGAATATCATGAGCTCTTACTGAATCTATAGCTCTTGGAACATTTATACCTTTGAAAACTTTATTCTTACTTTTTATTTGAGCTCTCGTTTCGACATAATTACCAGTTTCTATTGTGGATTCATCACACCCTTCTTTATCAAAAGTAACATTCCAATTCAAATCAGGATCAAACGGGTTTCGTGCATTTGCAATATTACCAATTATTACATCGCATACCGGGTTCTCCATACATAAAGCCGTTACTTTTCCTTGAAAATAAGGCGTATTTACTTCCAAACGGGCTACTGGAACAGATTTAACACTTCCATCTATCAAAATACATTTTTGATAATCACCTGTATACTCGTCTGAAATAACTAAAGAATTTCCTATAACAACAGTGGAGCAACCAGTATCTCTTAATACAGATACCTTGACATCTCCTATTAGTCCATCCGTAATCGGCAAAGAACTAGTATTTACTTCGTCTTTCCTACATGACGCACTTAAGGAAGTGACATTCTCAACTTCAATAAAACATGAATGCCCATTCTGATAACTTTTATTACCTTGATACCTCTCAGTTCGATTTGATGATCGGTTAACAGATTTACCTGGGGTCTGATGCTCTGAAATCCGACCATATTTGTTACTTGTATTTTGTGAATTAGGCTCTTTGTAAACTTCATTGCGTAAAGACGACAACTAAGTACAATCCTGAACTTGGTGTGAGGGACTTCTGCAGAAATAACATGTTCTCTGAAAAGAATTTGAAGTCGAAAAATTACTTGACCCATAACTATTTGATTTACCATATGTTGTATTTCTAGCCCGAACATACTGATTCCCGTGAACCTGAATATACCGATCAGCTAACTCAGCAAGTTCCTTTACATTTATAGGTTTATGTTCCTTCAGAAATAATGCAAGGTCTTTAGGGCAAGACTGCATATATTGTTCATGAAGTAGTAAATCCTTTAAACTATCAAATGTTTGCTCCGAATCTGACAATTCGATCCAACGATCAAGATAACTCTCTAACCTTACAAAGAAAGGACCCGAAAACTCACCCGTCTCTGGTTTTGCATTTCTGAACATGTTTCGAAATCCGTCGAAATCATGACGAAGGTTTTCTAACTCAATCTCTTTACTGACAATACCTTCTTTCGCAGTTAACTCATCCATTCTACTTTGCCTTTCTAACAACTTATCTTCCCTTTCTCGTACTCTCTCCTCACGCTCCCGAACTTTCTCCTCACGTTCATGTGCCGTTTCCTCATCTACAAACTGTTTCAATGTTTCACCTTCTAAACCCAACTCCTTACCTAACTTTAATAACCGTTCTATATCCATAGTGGCAACCTAAGTATTAAAACAATTAATAACACTAACTTAATCCTAATAAATTAGACCACAAAACAAGCGAAAAAAAAAACAAACTAATTAACAATACCTTCATCCATCCATGCACTCAATACTTAATATCCAATCTAAAATAACATATCGTACGAGTTTAAATCTTAACAAATATCTTAACTAAATACCGGTATACCAATTATCTTTGCTTTGCTTAAGAGAATGAGGAAAACACTTCTGACACCAAAATGTCACAAGACGGACGAGCGGATCCTAAATTTCCCCCCTTTGAAAAGAAAACAAAGATAACTGTTAACATATTTACATACAAAACAAATTAACATACATAGTTAAATCGTAAGAATCAAATCTAATGAATGTCTAGTGATCACACAAGATAATGTCCGCACACACGTGACGTTCCGCACTACCTCCACAAAATATAATCACAGTTAATCCAAATATTTTTCTCGTAGACATCAAGTAAGTCCTTGTGTACTGGTATAACAAACGAAGTTACCATTTATGAAAACCATCTCATTCCCATGTAAGTTTAGATCTTACATTTATCGATGACGTAACGATATATCAACTACAGCTTATATACATCAAAAACATAACTACCGCATTTTGTCATCTAGAAGTATCAATTAACCAACACCAATTCCATTTTAAGACACCTAGCATAGGATTCACTCAACATCGTAACCAATTGCCGAGTAACAAAATGACAAACATAAAAACCTTATATAGCACTCTTGCACACAATGCACGGACTTTCATCTTTTCATCTCAATATCAAGACACTAAAATAACAATACTTTTATTAACATGTAAATCGTATCTACATTAGTTTGCGCGAGTCGTAGAGGTACGTTTGCGCGAGCCACAAATGTGCGTTTGCGCGAGCCATTAATCTGCGTTTGCGCGATAAAACTTAATAATTTTGTGACATTAACCCCCCCTTTTCGAGACAAAAATCACATTTTTAGTCTAAAAACCAAAATTATTCCTACTCATAAAATCAGCTCCAACGTTCTCTTTGCCTTTAATAGCTACAATCCTAAATCTATATGGCTGTAAAGTTAGTGCCCATCTCATAATCCTTCCATTATTGATACCACTTTTATTCAAATATATCAGCGGT